CAATGAGATGATATACAATGGAATGAATGTAAAACTAAAGTTCTCCCATGTAAACTATCATATAATTCACAATAAAACATTAAAAAAAAAAAAAGTAAATAGGCAAAAAAATATCTGTATCTTAATAGATGGAAGATTTTAAATATTCCTTGCAATTTGGGTTTGCATATTTTTCATGAAGCAACAGTGGAAAGAAGAGGAATTTCTTCGAATACTCCCTTCCCACCTGTAGCTAGAACCCTGGTAAGAATTGATAAAAAGGAAAATAGAACTATTTTGCCAGGAGAGTTACTAAAGTATAAATTACAGGTCACAAATCCTGAAAAGACAAATTAATCTAATCTGGGGAAATAACATGAATGTGACCTATGGCAGATGCTATTGGCCACTGGACAAATACTGCAGACCCTCTTCCCACCTTCATCTTGTGTGGATACTTGCCTGCCCTAACAGATAACGGAAATGCCAGTATTTTATACTTTCTTATAGTGAGGATGGAGTTCTGGTGTGGCGCTGTGGGTTAATGTACTGGACTGCAAAGTTGGACTGAATCACAAGGTCGGCGGTTCAAGTTCATCAGCTGCTCCTTGGAAACCTTATATAGAGTTGCTATGAGTCAGAACAGACTCAATGGCACTTAACAACAACAACAACAAGTCTCCTTGCTATGGTGCCTGGTTCAGGGAGGGGCATGCCCCAAGTCAAGCAAGACCAATGAAGATCCAATGCATAATATTCAGCAGATGCTCACTTCTGCTAAACTCAGTGCTGTGAAGATGTAAGCTGGGACCGCTGGGGGCTCCACAGAGGCCACAGAAAGAAGTCAACAGAATGAAAAGTAAAGGTAGAGGACCAAGAGACTTTGTCTAAGCCCTGAATCCAGCCACACCCAAGGTTAATCAGGGAGACTTTCTGTAAATATCTTGTGCCTATTACATAGCCTGTTTTGCTTTCTAGATGCTATTTACCACTGATATGGCACTGTAGGATAAGCATGGGATGGCTAACCACAAGGTCTTTGGTTCAAACCCACCAGCTGCTTCTCAGAAACCCTGTACAGGGTTGCTATGGGTTGGAACTAACTCAATGGTATTTAACAACAACATGGGTACATTGGAGCCCAGCTGGCACTAACTGCTAGATCAGCAGTTCAAATTCACCAGCTCCTCCTTGGGAGAAAGATGAGACTTTCTGCTCCCACAAAGATGTACAATTTCCAAAACCCTACACAGGGTGTTGTTATGAGTCAGACTTGACTCGATGGCTGTGGTGTGGGATTGGCTTTGGTTTATGGGTTTATTGTTCAAGAAGATATAACAGGTACAAATAAAAATAAGGGGATTACTTACAGTGATTTTGAAAGAAAAACACATGATAACAAAAAGTTGAAAAAACTAGATTATGAAACAGTACCTAGTAACCTTACATCTGCTTAGAGAGCAGTAATAGTAACATAAGTGGTTTTCTTTCTCTTCTTCTAAACGTTTCCACCACTTGCTACTTAGTTTGCCTTACTGTGAGGGGAGCCAGCTTCAGGGCTATGCTGCCAGGAACACAACCACAAATCACACCACCAGACATTATGATCAAACTGTGCATTACTGGACCGCAAGACGGGTTTGAACACCAGCCGCTGTTTGGAAACCCTGACACGATTGCTATGAGTTAGAACCAAGTGGACAGCACTTAACAGCAACAACGGCCCAGTCCCCTCAGGACTGCCAACTGGTTACCTACGTAGCTCCTGAATCCAACAGCGAGACTGACGGGAGGGCCTCTGTCTGAGCCTACATGCTAGTGGGATGTCCTTTCCAGTTTATGAGAACACTAAGAGGAATGTCTCAAACAGAACTGTGCGTGTCAAATGATGGGGGGCCTTTTTGAAAAACAAATGCCCACAACTTAAGTATTTGCAACTTAAGTGCTAACTAAACCGTGGTGATGCTATGGATTAAGCACTCTGAGGGAGAAAGATAAGACTATCTGAAACCTTAAAGATTTACAGTCTTGGAAACCCTATACGAGGTAGCTAAGAGTTACAATCAACTTGACGGCAGTGGGGTTGGGCCTTTTTGGTGAATCAAAGGGAAGAACTTGAAAGTAGGTGATGCTGCAAATTTGATCACCTGGTACCTATTTGAGAGAGTTAATCTTACTACCACTGAGTCCTGGGGCTCGGAAGCCTTGAGTATAATGACTTTGAAAAAGTCTTGAAATCCACCCACCTAACTTAGTTTAGTCAGTTACAAAAGTACCTGTTCAGTTGTCACGGGGGTTGGGTCAAGGATCTTTTTCCCTCCATGAGAACAGAAAATGAACACCAAAAACACTCTAAATATTTGATTAGGTGTAGCCTACACACAGCAGGGCACAGGCTTTGAAGAAAGGTCAATTTGTCCTCATAATGATTTATGGAGAAGTTGTATTGTGTCTGAAATTCCTGCTAACCCAGCCGTCTCAAAGAAAGTCATCGTCTCAAGGAAAAAACGGCAGTTCAACACTACAAGGAAGCATCTGGAAAACAGCCTTTAACACCAATACAACCCAGTAAGAGCCTGCTTCACATTGCTGGAGGCACAGTGCCAATGAACAGAGGAGTGCCTTTCATTAAACAGGAAAGAAAAAAAGGGAGGGCCAGCAAGTTAACAAAAGGGACACAGTGTGGTGCCCCCCAATACACTGCCAAAATGGCTGCATCTGCCCTGACTCACACAGAAACAGGATTATCCCCCTATACCAGAGCACCACACACATCTCTGCGCTCACAGATTCTTCTGTCTTGCTGACCAAAGTTCTTTTGACACAAAGGAAGGCTGAGTGAGTTAGCACTTTATATACTTTCTACCTTATCAAAGTAACACTTATCGAACTGATTAACAGAATTAAAAAAAAAAAAGTCATACTCTTGTTAAAAAAGCAATTCTGTGGCTACAAAGTCATTTGGTGTAGTTGTTTAGCACTATAAGGAGCCCTGATAGCATAGTAGTTAAAAGTGGTCAGCTGCTAACCAAATAGATTGGTGGTTCAAATACACCAACTGGCCCATAGGAGAGAGACCTAGCAGTCTGCTTCTGTAAAGATTTACAGCTTTGAAACCCCATGGGGCAATTCAACTCTTTACTATAGGGTCCTATGAGTTGGAAGTCACTCAACAGCAGTGTGTGTTTTGGTTTTGAGCTGAGAGGTATAAAGTTGTATCTTTTTCTTTTAAGCACGGTTAAGTAAAAGAACGGAAACAGAAGCATCTGTAGTAACTACTGGGTGAATCTGAGGAGTATTTTAAGTGAAGAACGTGAATTAGAATTAGAAACAAGTATCAATAATGTTTTACAGAGGTCTCAACAAAATGGAGATCAATTATAATACTGCTACAAAGTAAATTTCTGCAAAACTGTCTCTCCGCATCTCCCACAGAATACATATCGTCACGTAGACAGTTTTTCTCAACATATGCAATATGAAAATGACTTTTTTCTCATATGGTAAAACCCATCACTTTGAATTTTCTCCTAAGCACTCCAACAATGGTGTTACAAAATATTGCTATAATTACATTGACTACAAGATATATTAGTTACTATATTCCTTAACATCCTCTTCTTGGTAAGGCACACACATAAAATTATCTATTAAGTGAGTGAGATTGTGGGCTCTTACAAAGACTCTAACTTCATGCTTTCTCTTTGGGTTTTCCCTGACACCCAGTTTCTTGTTCTGGATTTTTTTTTTTTTTTTAACTCCCTTGAATCTTTTTCTTTCCTTTGTATAATCTTATTTCTCCTAATTCTAGTGAACCAGTGGTTCGAGCCCACCAAGCGCTCTGTGGGAGAAAGATGAGGCTTTCTGCTCCCCTAAATATTTATAGCCTCAGAAACCTTGTTATGAGTCAGAACTGACCTGACGGCACTTAAACACAACAGTAAGTAGTTAGCAAGGGTTTCCCCCCAACATTGATAAAGCTGGTGAATAAAACTGGTGAACAAAATGATACAGATTTGCAAATTCAGTAAATTTGAGTTTCCAGATATGAACTGGTCAGTGCCAGGGCTTCCATACGCAGCCTTCTCTTGCCCACAGTGGCTCTCAGCAGGCTGTCCTGATGCTATCGGAGAAGGACAAAGACAAAGAAACCAGCTTGCTGTCTGCTGCTGAGATTTTCCTTTCCATTGCGATCAGCTCACCCAGCACAGCAGCAAATATATGATTTTTTATACAGCTCTGACTCAGAGTTCTAGAAAATTTTCACAAGCCCTGAATGACTGAGTTGGCAATGTTATTACCCTTCCCTTGTCATCTTAGAACAGTCCCTCTGATGAGTGCATGGCCTAGGGCCTTGATTAGTGTATTAGTGAGGTTAACCTGAGTTTGGCAAGGGCTGGAGGCCCTGATGTCAGCAATAAAAAAGACATTCAATCAAGATGATATGAGAAAGAGATGGCAGATTTTGAATGAAAGTTAAGCACAAAAGAATTCAAACAAACATATTCTTACTGAGATGTAGGGCAGTGGTTAAAGGTTATTTAGCTGGGTGGGACAAACAGCTAAGCTCTTGACTAATGGCAGAAATATTGGTGGTTCAAACCCACCCTGCAGCACAACAGAAGACACACCAGACAGTCAAGTTTCAAAAAGTATGGAGCAGTTCTACTCTACATACATGTGGTAGACATGAGCTGGAACAAAGTCAATGACAACTTAATAACAGCAGACAAATGTTTGCATAAGTGGACCAGAAAAGAATTCAGATACAAACCTTATTGTTAACAATGGCTTCGGAGTCATCAAAGACAAAGTCTCCATCATAGCTACGTGAAAAACACACGAGAGAAATGATTCCTACTACCGACTTAGCCCAGAAGGTAGGAAGAACAGAAGCTGGAATGATGGGGTCCAAATCGGTATCCAACTCGGCCATTTTGAAAACTGCAGGCTGCCACACTCTTGCTCCAGCATTATGTTGCTTAGAAATCTGCAAAATAACAATAATCATATGACATAAATATTTATCAGTGCATTGCTAGGCAAGTTTCTGTAGTGGACATATTTACTTTAAGTAAATAATAGCTGCTATTGTTATTAATTGCCACTGAGTTGACTCATAGTGACTCTGTATAAGGGATTCCTAGGAACAGCTTGTGGGTGTGAGCCATCAACTTTTATGTTAGTAGTCCAGTGCTTATCCTACAAAGCCACACCAGGACTCTACTAGGCAGCCCTTTCTGGAATGGCTTTATAAGATACAAATCACAAAATTTATAAGATAAAAATCACAAAAAATTTTTAAGTTGTGGTTTTCAAATTTTAGTGGGCAAAAAGATTATCTGGGACACACTTGCATTCCCGGGTCCACCGAAACCTACTGAATTGGAAGTCCTTGGATTTCTGATAGTGGGTTGCCCTTGGGAAACAATGATAAGTCAAGTCCTATATTTATCAAGGAGTCTATAGGATAAGTACTGGACTATGAACTGTAAGGTTGGCAGTTCAAACTCAACAGCCGCTTCTCAGAAACCCTATATAGAGTCACTATCAGTTGAAAACTACTCAGTGGCATTTAACAATAACAACATATCTACCAGCTGCTCCGCGGGAGAAAGATGAGGCTTTCTACTCCCGTAAAGATTTACACCCTTGGAAACCCTGTACAGGGTCGCTATGGGTCGGAACCGACTCGATGGCACTTAACAACAACAACAACATTAATTTTTTATAGTACTTGAAATAGTTTTCAACTTTTTTTTTAAAGTTATATTTTTTCATTTAATTAAGAAGAAAAAAAAACCCTGGAAACTCAGTGTTGGGTCTTAACATCTCGGGGAATAATATGTAATTATTATTCTAAAATAGCTTATAGTCTATTTGTAGAACTCAGAGGTATATGCAAATTAAATAAAAATGAGAGAGAAGAGTTTAATATGAATCAAAGAGCAAACAATTGAGAGGCTAATGGTTTATACACGATAGAAAAGGAAAGGAAAGAGCGCTGTAAACTGACTAGACAACCACTGGTCCTAAGCAGGGCTGACCTGCATCTTGAAGGATGGGATGCGAAGAAATGAGGCTATTCAAGGTGAGGATACAAGGCCCAACACTAGTGGAAGGATAAAAAGGACACCCACTCTTTACTTATTGACCAGATTATTAAGCAAAATTTGCTGTTACACAAAACTAGAGGATGGCCATATCAGAACATAAAACGGAGACAGACGACATCATTGTAACTGCCAAATTCCTTCATTATATAACAGCCAAGCCACTGAGAATCCCGGCCCAGCTAGGATGACACATAACCTTAACCATCACAGACCTGGGGGTTCGTTACTGCCAGATGTAACACAATAATGAGCAAAAGAGTAGTGAGTGAGAAATGTTGGAAGCCAGGGTAGGTGTCTACACTTAATTTCAGCTTTTCTTTCAAATACACAAACTATTAAAGCCAGAAATTTTTGCCTCCCAGCCTTACCTTGGGTAAATCATCTATCTTGTCTGAGGCAAACTGCCTGGCAGTTTGTGCAAATATCACACCCCAACTTGCTGATCATAGTTTATCTGTCAACAATTGTGATGTTGGCCCAGGACCGGGCAGTGTTTCGTTCTGTTGTACATATGAGTCAGTACTGACTCGATGACACCTAACAACAACAACAACATTTCTATGTATGGTGTTTTCTTAGGCTTTGCCATGATGATGCACATGTCAGATTGTCTGGGTTCCAATCATGTGTAACTTCCACACCTTACTTAATCTTTCTGGGCCTCAGTTTCTTCACCTCTACAATGGAGTTCTGGTGTGATGCTGTAGGATAAGCACTGAACTGCAAGGTCGGTTTGAACCATAAGGTTGGCAGTTCACACTCACCAGCTGCTCCTTGGAAACCCTACACAGGGTCACTATGAGTCAGAACTGACTAACTTGTACTTAACAACAACAGTGTGTTGGTTTGGAGTCATCCTGGCATGACTCAGTAGGATAAGCACTGGACCGCAAGGTCGGTTTGAACCACAAGATTGGTGGTTCAAATTCACCAGTCACTCCTTGGAAACTCCTTGGAAACAGGGTGGCTGAGTCAGAATCAACTCAACTGTACTTAACAACAACAAAAATGTATTGGTTTGGAGTCATCCTGGTGTGGAACCATAGGAAAGCAATGGACCGCAAAGTCGGTTTGAACTACAAGATTGGTGGTTCCAACTCAACAGCCGTGCCTTGGAAAGCCTACACAGGGTCACTGAGTCGGAACTGACTCGACAGCATTAACAACAATAACACAATGGGATCCACAGTGACTTTCTTCAATGGTTTTCATGAGGGTTATATGAGATACCCACCTAGAGTGCTTAGAACACTCCCTGCCATTAGTAAACGCTCAGAGAGGTTAGCTATTGTCACTTTTTCCTCAATGTGGTTGAAAGTATAGACAGAGAACTACTTTCGTTTGAAAATCCCTTTTAGATTTGGTTTATTGATACCAAGGTGCTTATATTTTCTACTAGGGACCAGGCCCCCATGTCTTTCATGCTGAGATGGAAGAGACTCCAAACCCTCTTGATTGGGAAGGCAGTTTAGATGTATTTGTGTCCTGATCTCCAAGGGAATGCCCCAGATTACAGAATCAATTAGAAGTCAGCAAAACAGGCCATTTTAGGTCCCAGGCATCTTTTCTATTGGCTTATATCTGCGTGAACTCCTGGGAACAGATCAAACAGTCAATGGGATACCATTCTACGGTATCACTGTCCCTTTCCAGGGGCTGGAAGGAGGTTCAGGTTTACCAGGCAGAGATGAAAGGCTCAGAAACTCTTTCATTGCCAGTCTCTCTAGCCTCTCTGCTTAGCAAGAGCTAGGGGAATATTCCAGCTACTATCTACTGACTGCTTTTCTTTTCCAAATGAAAGGATAAAAGATTGCTCAGAGATCCAAATTACAGCTGCAAACATAATACAGGTCACTACAGGCTCCAACCATTGTGTTTACATCTCAAGGAACGAAATGACTCCTACTACTTAAAAAAGAAATCAAGAAAGGAAGTCGGCCTAAATAGTTAGGAAGATACAGCTACTTAATGGGGGAGGGGGATAGACGTGTTCTCTGATTTGGAAAATTAATGTGGAAAAAAGCAAGTAACTTTCATCCATTTAAAAACATACAATGGATCTGTTAGCTATAAAATGGCCAGGTACCTGGCTTTCAGGCTACCTGCTTTTAAGCCAAATTTTTGAATACTATTTTATATAAATATATGAGTTTAAATGGATTTACAGAAGGAATACAACTTGGGAAATAGTTTATGCTCTTAAATAGGTTACCTGGCTTCACTTTTCCTCTCAGACTGTTGTAATGTTGAAGAATCATCTTAGAACTCAAGCATCAGACACGATATGCCCAAGGCCGACAGTAGAGGTGAACATCTGGGCTACCCCGGTGGGCCGGGCCTCTTTTGGATTTAACAGGATTGTTCAATCAATCTCAGAATGTTCTGCAACCCTTCCTTTCTCTTGCAGTGACATCAGGCACTAGAGTCTGCTTCTTGTCCCGTTATTTCTCAAGTCTGGCTTTCCCTTCCCTCCTTGTAGCTTCCCTGTTCTTCTACCTCACGGGGTTCTTCCTCCCCTAGTCTCCAAAGTCTCCCTGCTTCCTTGCTGTCCCTAAAAATACACACAAATGGTCATATTGTTAAAGGTACAAGGGGGATTCCAAAATTTCACAGGAAAATTCCATTATCTTGTAATGCCATTTTCCCATAACTTTTGAGTTGCACTGTATCTACTTTTAAAACGGATTGTGCAACCGTTCAGAAAACACCTTTCGTTAACAAATGTGAAAAAAAGTCACCATGTATTAGGAATCCATGTAAATGTCTCAGAATCTAGTTGGTGAAGAACATGAGCTCTGGGAAGAGACAAACACAGGCTTGCTAGCTATATGACCTTGGACATCCTTCCTCTAAGATTAACTGCCTCATCTGTAAAATAGGATGCCACCTTTGGCCTCAGAAACTTATGGGAAGGATAAAAAGAGACAATATATGGTAACAATTAGTTCCCATTATTGTTGCTATTATTTTTCAGAAATTAGTTCTAGGTGCCTAGCCCTTGACTTGTTATATTGGGAACACTCATGTTCCCATCATGGGCCATCACTACCCCATTAGGTGACCTGGAGTAATTTAACAAAAGGCACATTTTCTTCCAGTGGACCTCTGGCTCATTGTTCCTCTGGCCAGGTGTCTTTGTACCGTGACTAAACCGCACAACCACACACAGTGACACCCTTCATGCCTCCCCTGCCTCGTCCCACAGTGATCAGAACCAGACGTGGAACTCTAGCAACAAAAGCCTCGGCAGAGTCAGGGGATTGGTCCCCTCCATCTTTGTACCCAGACCAGGGAATAGGAAGCATTTCCCATTCTTCTCTTGATGTACCCTCAGCTTCTCCAAGTGACCCCTTGCCTGGGAGCCCTGGTTGTTCTGTCTTGGCTGGATGGGTAAACTCAATTTAAAGAGACGGAAGAAGGGAAGCCTACTTTGGTCCACGTCCAAGCAGAGTGCTCCATTCAGTTTTACTGATAATAAAGTCAGTATTCTGATCCTATCTGACTCTAATTTGAAATTTGGGTCACAATTAACTGGCCCTAAACAGCAGTTGCATTTGGAACAAAGTCTTTTTATTCCCAATTTCTCAAACTTTTAATATCAGGCCTCTGTTTTCAGAGGGTTAAACAAGCTTATCAATTACCAATGAAATGGTCAAAAGATCTCAAAGAGATACCTCCTGAATGAATGTCCCTGAACTGTGGACTGAGGTGGACATAGTGATAGCTGACACATCAGACTGGACTACAGCAAGCAGGCAAAACCATTCTTCCACACGCACCCTTTTCTGTTATCCATGCAGCCAGCTGCCCTCTGCCAGGATAAGATGACACTGTCTCTGGATAGCATTAGATGAAAGAG